TTTTCGACGATTTTTGCTTTCGCTGATGATTTGGCGATAATTACATTCTTGATGATGATTCTGTATATGTAATAATATACTGCTTTTTTTAGGTTTTAGAGGAAAAGATTGTTCGAAAAAAAACATTAGGCCATTTTCAGATAGAGTTATTAATCACATGTATCTCTGGCATTTATAAATTATTCTTTAATAAAAATAATACGCGTAATGATTATGAAGTATTTAAATTTTTGAGTTTATTCAATGAGTCCTAGCTCTCGAAGATGATCTGGAATGACTAGATATGGATTCTCATAATACCAAACATATCTTAGAACAACCCAATTTTCTTCGCAGAGTTCTTTTTTGATCTGATCACACATTAATTGCTTCTCAAAGTCTTCCTCATTTTTGTCAAAATATTTATATGTTGCTCGTGCTGTTTACCTTGTACTTCTATGACGAATCCATACTGTGGATAGTAGATATCAAGCTCTAGTCCTCGAGGATGTTCAGGTGTTTTCAGGAAATCTGGTCTGCGGATGCTGGAAGGTGGACCAAGAATATTAGTTATGACTTTGCAACACAGATTTTCATGCTTATTTAAGCACCAAGATTTAATATGCTTAATATTAATACTATTAAAACTTGCAAACCATTTATGCCCTTTATCACACATCCATTGCATCAGAACACAGAGATTTATATATTCCATTGAAAGACACTTACCTCCTCTACTGTGAGCAATTTAAATTTCCTTAGCTTCCAGACTCTGTATGGCTTCAGGAACGCAACGAACTACACTGAATCGAAGCCTGCCCTGATAAATTTTAGTCCAACCTACCAATTCAGCTCTACATATGCTAAGATCACAAGGAAAATTACCAGCACATTGTGAGCACCATCTTCCCATATTTTTTATTTGATAAAGAGTCGTAGACCATTCATGGCCTTTGATGCATCTCCAAAACATTGGAGTAGTTGCATTAATATATTCTGTAGAAAGGCATTTACCACCTCGTTCTTGTACTTGTGCAATATTTTTTGCTATATCAATATTGAGAAATCGACACTGCTGACACCAAGTTCCATTAATAATATCTTTGCTGAAGCCTTCCATTTATGACCTTCTTTACACTGCCATTCAAGAGGATCCTGTCTATTAATATATTCAGTTGCAAGGCAAAGACCTCCTTTTTTTTCTGCATGCATTCTCATATCTTCAATTGTTCGAGTATGACGATTTTCAACTGCACGCCACAGGCACCATGTTTTTTTGTACCTTATACAATCAAGAGTTGTAAACTATTCATGACCAATGGTGCATTTCCAAAGCATTAGAGACTTACCATTAATGTATTTGTCAGAAAGGCATTCACCTCCTTTATTATATGCAATCTCTTTAGCAATCTGTAAAGATAATTTAATTTGCATTTATACTTTAACTTATATTTATGCCAATTCTTTAAAATCTTGGCAAATTCCTCCCTTAAAATCCTGCTTTTCTATAATTTTTACTTATACTTAGTTGATCTCTCTCTCAATATATTCATTTTTAAAAATATTAAAGATATGATTATTATTATAGCACTACGTGCCTGACCTTTTATTATTTCTTCTTGGCAAAAGTGATCAGTGTGATAATTCGTCATGCATAAAAAAATTCGCTTTATGACTCGAAGAGTCACCCAAAGGGCTTGTAACAATAAAATATATAGGCACACAGATGCCGGATACATCAGTATAAATGTATCATTTATAAATGTCTATTGTCTGCGAAGCAAGAAATTCCGTATCTAATAGGCATAGATTGAACGGTTCGATTTTGTATAAGTTTCGCTGGTATTTAAATCATAATAATAACCTTCATCATCGTCATCAGAAAAAGTACAGAAACTCCCATCTTCTTCGTTGTCATTGGTGAATTCATCGGAGAAATTTTCTGGCTCATCATCGGATAAAGCAGTAATTAAAGATTGTGGTTTATTATCATTGGCATTTGTATCACTTACTTCACTTACCTCGGTTCCAGTAGATGCATTTATCGAAGCTTCTGGTAATTCCAAATCTTGATCATCTGAAGAATTGTCCTGTTCGTCGGTATATTCTATATCAGGCTTTTTGGTAAAGTGATCTAAAATCGTTTGAATCTGAGAATTAGTAAATTTCAAAATAGTAATAGCATTTGCACTATATGATTTAATATATTGGACCTTATCTAAACCTATTTTTTCAAATATGCTGTTTGCTTCTATAATGTATTACGTTTAGTATCAAGCTGTAATAATAAAATCATAGATTTGTCCTTTTGCTTTTTTCTTACCAACCTGCTCATTTTCATAATGTCTTTAACTTGATTATTATTATCGAACTCGATAACGTAATGGTACCAGCATAAAATTTCATCTTGATTGGCCTTTATTGCTTGTTTTTCCGCATCACAAGCTTTCCGATATAAGGTAGCCAAATTTAGTAAAGTTTTACTTCTTGATACAGAAAGTATAGTTATATCACTTACATGATTTTCGCTGACCTGATTCGAATTTTGGGTCAGCGAAATTTCAGTCACATGATTTGGAGATATGGAGTTATAATCTTGGAGATGCATTGTTACCTGCAGATATTTCCTGGATAAAGCCTTGTTCACGGGAGATAATAGGAACAGTATTCTGGGAAGTTATGATTGTCTCTTGATCTCGAAGTTTCTTCTCTTTAATCTTTTGAATTGTCTCTTTACTAACCGTTTCTCTATGCTTTTTATCTGGGAATTCATTTTCTTCCTTCTCATCCAATGATATTAATATGGTTTTTGTGGGAGATATTGGGATCACCGAATCCTGGTATATTACTAGTAATTGTATCACTTTCATGCTGTGAAACTCATTGAGCATAACGTCACAGCATCATTACGCATATTAATATAGCAACAGTATCGCCTTTGTACAATGTGTTTATATTATATCAACCCTGTAAATTAACTCATTACGTGTAATATCGTATTAACTGTGATATCTTGAATCTATTCAAACACGATAAGTCATAAAGCTATCTTGAATATCTGCATATTCGGAATCCTTAAACGCGCTCAAACTGGAAGCACATCAAGATGACTTTAATTCTGGCTCTAAACGGAAATGTTCTGGATTACTTAAAAAGAAATGGACTTCAGTTATCTGGCTGCAGAAGGTGCAAAACCAATTCTTATTATTTTACAATAGACAATCAAGTTAACTACTAATAGAAATAGAAATTATATTAATATTATGCAAGCTAGAAAGATTATGTACTTTATTAAATAAAGATTTGCAATAATCACGGAATAAATTCTTCCTGATGTGAGCAATTACATGCTAAAATATATATATAAGATTACTCGTATATGGAAAATTATAATTGTAACAATTCAACTGAATATGAAAAAGCCACGCGTTTCTTGGAGATTGGTTGCAATTGTGGTTGTTTCAAAAAATTTTGAGAGAAAATTTTTGCCAAATTACGTAAAGGTTGCTAGATCCGAACAAGATATATTTTTAATGGCCCAGCTGAAAATGATGAAAGGTGGGGAAATAACGCCTGCCGACGCCTTAAAAAGAAAACGCGTACTAATAAGAAAACTTTCTAATATTGAGATCGCACGGACTACCAAGCCCTAATGACGTTCGCACCGTAATCTCTTTGGCGATTACTAGGCAGCTTGTTGAACTTGGATTTGTCTTGAACAGTGGACAATTAATTGGCCAATACGAGAGAGATTAAGATGGCTTGCTCTATCGTTCAAGAGTTCGATCCGATCCCGATGCATTTTTCGTTGTTATGCCTTTCGTGCTGATGAAAGTACTCCATCAAGTGCTACTGCCTATGGCGGACGGGCCTGTTATTCCAAAACATATACTTTTTATGCCGTCAAAGGATCGCCTTTGGCATTGGCAAGACTTTAAACAACTTCTCGGACACTACCAAAAAGCACTTGTTGAATGTTAAACAAGCGAAAATTCGGGTCTGAGGAAAACAAAATTGGAGCGTATTCCAATCAGAACCCAAAATTGTTTGGTAACTGATTCTGCCACTAAATATTTGATGTTCACTTTGCCTGGTTTGGTTACTATTACAGCATGCCCCAAATATAAATAATAGCTTTGGGCACACATAAGAAATTACCTCTGCTTGGTCCTCTCATAATAATAAGCACAAAATGACATGATTCTTTTGTAACTGATGCCAATGTGATCTCGTTGTCACTTGAGTTTCTGGCTAAAGTTTACCCGGGTCAACACTAATTATAGTATAACTAAACTATAATTATCCCAACTACTACTACTAGCATATTGTCAATGTTGGACTATTTGCTAGTGTTTATTTTAATCAGCAAATACATAAGCATGGTATTTTTCAGTCAGAAGGTCTGACTAGCTTTTCATGAGAAGTATTGCAATTCTAAGCCAACTGATTGGATAGGAGACAACCTTGACCGTAAGTCAGCTACCAATCCTAAACTGAATAACAATTTCCCATATCGACCTTCCCAAAGAAACTTTATCCCCTATTAATCGAATAAGAATAAGCAAATCTCCCTACTTTCAACAGCATGATCAGCTTCCTTCTGTCTACTCACCTTGGCCACACCGAAAGTCGCCTTTACAATACCTTGCACATCATCTTTGGCTTTTCCATCTCCCGCGTTGTTCTCAGTTTCTCTCTTTACTTTCTGCCACCATTCACATCCAATCATCAAATCGCTCTCATAGCTGAACATGTTAAAATCAAACCTAGGGCATAATGCCAGGGTGTCAGAAACTTGTGCGGCAAAAGCAGCTGACATATGTCCCATAATTGGGTTAAAGAGATAAGTAAAAGTAAGCGGTGATTGCATTGGGTGTTGTGGAAGGGTACGATAGCGTAACCCTGTAGATATGCCTCCACTACGCTCACTTGCTCCGTAATATATTTCTGTTCCAACAGTCCATTGCCCTTTTAATCCTTCTACCATGTCGTTGTCAAATTCTTCCGATTCGTCTGATGAGTGATTATGGAACTCTGCCAATCTACTCGGGGATTGTTTCTGCAATTTATTTTTGGGTGTAGAAGCGTTATCAGTGACAATTCCATTATCGGATTGAGAGTCTTTCGCAGCTGATGCACTATCATCTGCCAGATGATACAGTCCACGTAATCCAATAAGAGAACGGTTGGTAGAATAAAAGGCTTCTGTGCACCATTTCCCTGCATCATACTGTATCTCAGCAGTTACCTATATGATATGATATTTTGTGTGAGATACGTGAATCAGAACTGGTCGGAAAACTACAAGAAAAAGAATTACAACAAAGTGTTACATGTGGGGCTCCTCTTCGTGTATGCTCGTTAATTCCCGTAAATAAAAATTGTGACCAGGGCGATAACTTTTTTGAGTAAAGGATTTCTAATCGAGTGGTCGGAATGTGTAATCGGCTGTATAAAATATAATCTAAATTATATTAAGAGCGTTGTCGCATACTTTGCCCTCGATCATAAGACGTTGCATGGGTTTACTAGATAAGTGAACAAACCTTTGGACACGTATGGTTTCTTAACATCGTCCACTTTTTGCGGATGTGTAATTGGTTGATGATTGATGTAAAATCGATCCACTAATTCGCCAAATCTCACTTTTGCGCTTGGTTCAAGTATTAATGGCTGAGAAGTAAAAAGATAGCCAATGTATCCATTGAGTACAGGCAGAGCGTTCATAGAATATGAGGTTTTAAAGAGTGGAGTCGGTATTTTTGATATTGTGAAATGTAAGCCATGGGGTATTTTGAAATCGAGTATTGCTAGCAATTATGTATGCATTGTGTATAGTATGTTTCAGATACACAATCTTTATAAGTTAAGGGAAAAGAACCAAGTATAATTGGATACACATAAATTTTATATACAAGCAGTAAAACAGTAAAGGACTAGTTTTTGCATGATTTTACTACAGTTCTAGCAATAAACTGGTTACCTCTCGAAGCTGCACACAAATTTGAGTAGGTATTGTCCTCGTTCCATCCAATTGTTTTGAAATATTGACGGAGACAGTATTCCATAAAATCCTGCATGCTTGAGTCCTTTATTATTATTATAGTCAATAATAATTCGACACTTTTTTATGATCTCGTACAGCATATGTTTCACATCAGGATGTCACAGTCACATGATGATTATCATACTATTAAAACATGTGACATCTTCAGCAGTCATCCGCTTTGAATCTTACATCAGGTAAAAATCGATTGCTGTTCACTTGTTTACATTTATCACTTTAATATGAACTGTTTTCAAACATACTTTATGTACAGGACAGCATACAGGCATACTTCGAAAATGAAGACTTCCAATTTTTAAAGGATAGTCAAGATCACACATTAACTCGATCACGGCTTGATTATGTCCAGCAGTCGTTGGAATTCTATAGATTCACTGGTATGTTTACTAAATTTAATAATACAGTCAGGCCTCGATAAGCCGGCCGCATAATTTATATTATCGAGTACTCCTAAACAATATAATAATAAATTATGCGGCCGGCTTATCGAGGCCTGACTGTATAACCAAAACATCAATATTAATATCTGTATTTATAAATTTACTAAGGGCTGAACACCACTCTGCAAGTTCAAAGGCCCGCATGTTAATGCAAAAAATGGCAGGAGAAGTTAAAAAATACCAACTCATTTTGTTACAAGAGCAAATTCACTAAAAAAAGGAGTGTGCTATGACTATATATTATAATTATATAAGCTATATTTTATCATTCTCACTGTCTAAATTTTACCGTAACAAGATAAAGATTATAGCTGCTAACAATTTATTATTATGTAAAATAGGATGAGCGACCTGGCCACAAGGATGACAAGCCCAAGATTCCCAATCTAGCATCTGACATCCTAAAACTACCTTCATACAATCTGATGTGGCTTGACAAGGGAAGAGAGTGGGAACTTGAATTTTCAGGGAAACCCTCCAGCCCGGAAAAAGATAAATCTATGGTGATAGGTGCAAGCTTTTCCGGGGCATGAAGGATATACTTGATAATCGCCTACGGGCCGCAGAACGGAATAAATCGAGCGGCATATGAGATTGCAAAACAGTATGCTGGTATATGGCGTGCAATCTTATGGAAATACCATTCACATATTCGCTATGAATATGCCATTTCTAAATATATATGTCGTTTGTTTGATCTGTTCGCTGGAACTACCTTGCCGGAGAGAGAGATAAAGCAAATCCAAAATCTGATTGACAGATTTTGGAATATAATAAGGGTAATTATAATTCCTCATTAATATCGACACGTATTAATATTATGCAAGTTAATTGACAGTAAGATAATTCCGCTTTTTATTTTCTTATTACAGAATGCTGTGATAAAGGTAGTGGAAAAGTTGATTCAAGTCGATGCGATTGCGTGTGTGAACAGAGGTACTGAATATGAAGAACGTAAGGAGCAGATAGAAAAGTCAATTAAACCAATCGCTGTAGCAAGTCCGCGAAAGTCAAAACAAAGGTTGTTCTTCCTAGGAGTTTAGTTATTATGGCAATGTTGTTAGTGTTTATTTATTTATTCAGTCATTCATGATTCATGCATTATTGAAATCAAGGAATCCAATGCTTGGTGCTCATATTACCAGCATCATAATCAAGCGCGTTTATTTTAATTCGTGTATTGATTATTGATCGACACTTTGATATTTAATATTGATGTTGTAGACTGTGCTTTATACATAGTCATTCTCGATAATAATAAGAAGTCGTCAGGCTGGACCAAAATGTTCATATTATCAAAAGATTATTACAACGAGAGATCTTATTATAACGAAGATTATATTTGAGCCATAAAAATTGTAATAAAATCTGTACGTGATGTCAACATTTTATTCAAATTTACATATATTCCAGTCATTTAGAAGCGTGCGCACGTTTTTTCTATCATTTTCTTAATATTGAGTACACTCACTCCCCAACTCACTACCACCGCCGTCAGCTTATCTTTCACAAACTCGGAGTTCGACTATGTAGATAATTGTAACAGATGTAAGATTAAATCATTTTAAATCTTGACATGGGAGTGACTCTTCTTACCTGGAGCCGACAAAATTCGATACTGTCTTGAGACAAAAGAAGAGGATAAATCTTCTCAATCATATCTTCTGGAATCAATCGTTTTTCGAAAGCATCGAACAGATCCTGACGCTCGAAAAATTTCGATTTTACGGATTCAATAAGTGATTGGATGACCGGATGCTATTGAAATAAAGTCAAGTTAATCAAGTGCAAGTGGGGATAAAACGTTAACGAAAATCGATAAGTTACATACCAGTTGTCGAAGTTTAGACTTTTTGCCCCCAGATTGTGTCAAAGCTTTAAAGCTTGACAACGTGATCACCAAGTAATTCACTACCTGTTCTCAAATATACGTTTGAATATAGCTAGAAGTATAAAGCAAATATCCATACAAGATTCATACCTCTGCGAAACAAGACGCTTGTGAGATATGCCTCCATGACAAACTTTCTATCGCATCATCAAGCATTCCGGTAGGCACAGCATCTGTGAGGAACGTAAGTTAGTATCTGACAAAGCTTATGTCTCGACATTCTGGCGGCATACCTTCTAAATGCTGTATTAGTTTAGAGATACAATCATTTAAATTCTTCTTAACGTCTGCAACGCAACGATTGAGAATAAATATGCATTCCGAAATTTATCCAACACGCATTATCCCACCTTCAGTTCCAGCTTCCTCATCCTTCAATAAGCAGTATATTTCTCCCAATTTTGCAAGGATTGTCGCAATAGAAATTTCTTCCTTAGTTAACTGAGAAACGAAATTGTTACAAATCAGCGTGCTTCTAAAATATTCAAAGCCTCCCAATAATACTTACGCTCGCCTCCTTACAGCATGCCACAAGCATTTCGATATGTCTCCGAACTTTATCGACTGAAGCTCCAAGACAAATACATTTCAGTAGTCGTGGGATGATCTCAAAAGTTCTTAGCCACGTCACCTAGTATTCAATACCATGTTGTTATCGTCTGACTTTTTTTAGTCAACCGCATGGCTAAGATAATAAACTGTTTAAGATATTTTACATCAAGCTTAGGAGCGAAACGGGTACTCTCTTCAACTGAGGGGGTGCCTTTGGGGTTGAAATTCGACATGACATCAAAATCTCTATTGTCATATTTGTCATTGATGCTGTCATCTGCGGCGGTGTCAAAAATTGAGTAACGTACCATTAGTATAGTTCGAAGCATTTGGTATTCCGCTAAAAATTCTGACTCTGAAAATTCACCAACTGGTTCTTTATCTACAAGTTCAGGAACTTTGTCGCGAGGTCAATAATAAACGTCGTTTGTTTCATTACCCAAGTTATCCTCGTCTTCAAACTCATTCAGATAGCCGTTGACTTGTGCAATAGAATTGGACACGTCAAACAGCTCAATTCGCATTAGCTCACGATCGATAATGGCATGTTGAATGGATTTCATCAATCTTTTCTCAAACTCTATAAACTCTTCCACCTTCAAGGGATTAAATACAAGTACGTAATTATGACGATAAGGTTACTTAAACGAAAGTTGATTGCGATACCTTTGAATATGTCCCATTTTTGTATGCGAATACGATCATGTCTGGAGTCTGAGAAATTTATCATTCATTGTCAACTTAGTGATAACATTGTCATAGAAAGAAATGTGCTTTTTCCCTTCCTCCACCGCAACATGAAAGTCTCCTGCCACCCAAATGTCGGGAAAGCAAGCGATTCAGCATATACCTCATCTGTATTACTTTGATAAATATGCAGCGCATCGCATAAGATTGACTGCGCATCATCATAAAAGCCTAATGAGGTAGCCCGATTGAGGACAAAGTGACTGTTATAAAGTAATAGACACATTTAGAGACAATTGTCAATTTATAAGTAAAGCCTATATTATTCGAAAATCAATTACCTAAGCGTGTCCCATTGTACGTGCTTCACCTCCAATGATTTAAATAGCTGTATTGGTCTAAAGCATATTCCTGCAAAAAGGATGCCGAATTAAATGACTCATATCATTAAATTCTAAAAAAAAACACAACTTACCCAGCATCAAATATATGCGTGTCAGCAGTAGGCTAAATTGAAAGTTGGAAGGACTATTTTCCAAAGCTGTTTCAAGAATCATTACTGCTTGGAAAAGGTAAATATTTGATCCTAAAAATTCAGAATAAGATTTCTGTTGATAAAACAATTGAGACATCACTTCGAAAGATCAAATAAAAAAAAATCACGGACCACTCTTTTTGTGCAAGTCAAGTAAAACATGAGTAGCAAGAACTGCAAAATCATCTCCGTAATGCAATTCTGTCTCTTTCAGGTTTGTACCTAATTGATTTAGCCAGTAGATTTGTAGAATAACCATGCATAGATTCTGTCGTGATTGCAGTAGAGTTCATCGGTTCTTATACACCCACCCAATGGCAACGAGTCACAGTATGCTTTCCATAACGCATTAGCGTATGATATCAACTGCTTTTCATCTAAAGCTGAGAGTAATCCTAAATATCGTTCGAGTTTATAAATGTTTACCCATCGCTGGACATTGTTAATCTTGTCCTAGTTTATGGGTGAATCGAATCATATTATATTAATAATTATGGAGGATAAAGCATAAGGTGGAGCTAATTGTTTTAACACACCTTGGTTTCTTGACTACTTTCGTCAATACAGCTTTTAAACTCATTGACAAGTTTCTCAGCAGCTTCCGTACCAAGTCCGTCTAAATAAGGCTGCAAGTCTTCAAAGCAGCAAGCTTTTGAGGAAAACTTTGAAAAGTATTTCAAAATCAATGGTGACAAATCTTTCGAATCTAAGAAAAAAAAGGAGAGGCAGATTATGAATTTATTATTGTGCTGTATGCAAAGCGTAGCGGTTAGTTCTTTTCCATACTATATCTTTCGATCGACGCAATCTGCTTCTCCAGTCGGAGTTCTGCAAGAAAAGGTCCGCGATGCAAATATTTTCGTGCCGGTTCGTTCTCCAGGCGTGAAAGCTCCTTCTCCTGGATTTTAGAGATGAATTCGCGTGCCTTTTCTATCCTACTGCTGTGATTGAAATGAGTTTCTTAATAAATAGCTTCACGTAGCCTTGTAAGCTCGCAATAGCTATGCGAGTTTAAAGAACTTATTTAAGTAACAAACCTGGTGGCATTATCATCAGTTTCAATTGATGAAATTTCGAGAACGGCTTCAATGTACGTCAGGTAGCTTAACCAATCGTCATTACTAAAAGAGGATAAAATAAATAAAGTTCCGTTATTGATATAAATTTTGCGCCAGAAACAAAAATTCATCTAAAGTTATCAATTATCTTCCAAAAGAAAAAAAAAGAGCACGAGTAAAATAACAGGTTGAAAAAGAACAACATACTTTACAGTACTCACAGCCTCCTCCGATATAAGTAGAAGCTTTTCCCAGGCCTTTTCCTTTTTCAATACTGTGTTTTTGATCGATTTAATCTCGATGTCATTTTGGAATTTTTGACCAAGCTCTCCTTCAAGAATTTCGAGAGCTTCCTTTGTCTTGTTTTGTCTTATGAGGCTGACCAAATACAAGTAAAATTCTGTTTATTGCAGGCAATGAAGTATTTAACATAAATATCATAGCAACCAGATTGCATTTGATACTAGTTGTCTGATAAATAGGGAAAACTGACCTTCAGAAGTAGACAATCTTTTCTCTTCAATAGCCTTTGCAATCATGCGCTCTGACAATGACAGTAAGAGATCTTTCTGCTGAGCGTCGGCTTCATCTGCCTATTTCAAAATTTGTTATAGAGAGACTTGGCATTTTATAGAATTACACGAAAGTACATAACAGCGAATGCACCTGCAGTAGAATACTTGTAACTGCCCAAAAGTAGTATCTGTTTGATTTAAACGTCTTATAGAGTTTTAAGGCCGCCTTTGGTTCGAGAAATTGTAAATTTATTATTTCAAGTATGAATTTGTAACGTAGTTTTGTGAAAACGCGTTTACCATGGAGTTCCACTAAAATTACCTGTTGCTGCCCTCTGTAGTCGTGTATTCTAACTAAAGCTATAAACCAGTGATATCCGAATTCTTCGCTGTTCGGTTTTTGTTTTAACGCAGTCTGGTAGAGTTCTACAACAGCTTGTTCTAATAAAATATTTCAGATCCGATGGAAAAAGCAAAAACAAAAGACCAGTTCAATTCTATGCCTAATTATTGTCAGATTGTCATAAATAATTCGATCCTCATATTATAGCACTCAATCTTGCATCATATCATCCTCTTCACCAACGCACGTTTGTCAGCTGATCGGTACACCAATGAAAGAGCTTGTAGGACAGCTTCGTCAACCGGTTTCAGTGCCTTGATTTGAGCGCATAATTCAATTGCCTCGTCTGTCTTCCCAGTCTTTTCTAATGCTAAGGCTTTCAAAGCCTAAAGCATTAAACCAAATTAGGGAGGGGAAAACGACTAGTAAAATAACACGTATCCGGGTCAAAACTTTTTAGATAAGGGGGGAGGGAGGCGGAAGGAATACCTTGACAACTAATAAGTCCGGCTGCTTTTTAAGGAGTTTGCTACACCGCTGGAGAGCGGCTTTATAATTGGCCGCGTCGAGGGCCTCTTATATATGAATGATTAAACATTTACATAAGCTTAATGCGAACACGATATATAGAACGATATCCAATTTGGAACAGTAAATGAATTACCGTAGATAGGTCGATAACGACGCTCGTTGATTTCAGTATTTGCGGACATTTGAATAAAAAAATTCCGGTGAAATAATTTTTTTTACATAATAGATGAATAGTATTCGATTGTCATGTGATATGATCGACTAGGAAAATTTGACTATAATTAAGTTTCATCTGTGTTGGCTACTGATTTGTGTTTTGATTTTTAAAACTGTGGACACAATGCAGGAACTACAAGAGCGTTCACCGTCAGATTTTCTCGGAGAAGCTATTGGGAGGAGAGTTCTCGTTAAGTTGAACTCGGGCGTTGAATACCGAGGTGAGTGAAGCTGATCATGAATTTGATTATGGCTGGACTCCAAGTGGAAGTAAACCCGTTCTCTGCGTTCGTAGGCATACTATCGTGTCTCGATGGGTATATGAACATTGCGCTTGAGCAGACGGAAGAATGGGTCAATGGACAACTTAAGAATAAGTACGGAGATGCTTTTATTCGTGGAAATAATGGTAAATATTACAAAAGTACTGTTTACGAGCTTGTATGCTATTACTCCATCTCATTAGTTCTCAATGAATTTTTTGTCAGTATTATATATAAGTGCCAATCAAAGTCGTAATACTTTGTAATCTTAACTGATAATATATAAATCACAGTATGGGAGAACAGAAACTCGATCGATGTACTAGATACTCCTTTCTTAACATGAAGCTACGAGTAATTGTTGTTCCTATCGAGATTCATATTTGTTCAAAGGGACATTTATCAGTTCGCTTTACAGCTAAATTAGATGTATTTTATACCATAATAAGATCTTAAATGTCTCTTGCCTTCGTTCAAAGTGAACTTTCTATTAAACTATCTTGAATTATGCCAAACATGCTCTTTCTGTTACTATTGAGACATCTTTTAATCCTAGTATTCACTGTTCGATCATAATTCAATAGAAGTTGAGATACAAGTACGTTACAACGCCAACATTCAGCGTAAACCATGCGTCGTATTATTATTTCGACTTTATCGATTCCATTTCTCAATATAGAAAGGAGATGCTATTACTATTACAGCAATGAAAGAACGTCTTGAAAGCACCCTCTTCTGGTGAAGTTTTCAAATGGCAAATTTGGCCGCAACGGCAGCTCCTTCGCGAATGTCGCTGCCATGTTAGGTCCGGATATTCCTCCACAAAACAATATCCATTTATTATTAGCAATCTATCACTATTTATATTATTATTATGTATACCCTAAATCAGTTACAATAAAACCGTGAGACTATTTATCATCAACGTGGTACAAATAGCTATGGATGACATGCGAGCGTAACAATTTTGGAAAGCACACTTTTTACACTATGGAACAAAGAGCGCGAAACCCATGCCATCATGTGAACAACCTTTTGACTGTCAACTTACCGTTAGCAAAGATAGACTCGGCAGCTTTCAAGGTACTATTTAGTTCAGAACTCTGACTGAATAGTATCAGTAACCTATTAATAGCTAACCACAGAATTCACTTGCCAGAAACAACTTACCAGTGCCTCGCTCCATTGTGATCTGTGCGATACAAAAATGCCGAGGCTATGGATTTGCTTGCACGTAAGCGGACATGAAAGGTTGATTTTGACAATTTAATTGCACATTACAGCTGTTTTTACATACAAAATCTAACATAAACTGTACAGAGTAATTGTCGGGCTATAATATGTAATACCAGCTCGCACGCACACGTACTTAAACACTTTGACATGTATAAGGTACCTGTACGATGTTGTCTTTTTCTTGTGAACTGCCTTTTCGCGTCGCTAATCGTTATTCAATTAGAATTCGACAGAAAACGGCTATCATTCTGTTTACATCAACCCGCGGGCATTGACAATTTGGTGCTACGAGTGCGGAAGGGAGTTAAACCCGCTCGATAGTTCTGAATTGCTTTCTCCTGACGTACGAACATATTTGAGAACAGTAATAAGAAGTCTGGTGAGTGAATAAACTGTAATTTTTAAACTGGTAACCGATACTCACATTCGATTTGGGCAATGGGTTGTCGAAACATTGCTCACTGGCGTGATTAGCAAGGGAAGCGTAACAAGTCCCCAGAACAACCATTTGTCGATGTTCCTGGTAAGTTTTATTTACGCAATATTATTATAGTTATATGATTGATGAATAATCTTGGTGACGTTGAACATTACTATGAAGGATTAGTAGGCTTGAAGAACTTGGGAAACACCTGTTAGTATGTCATCACTTTCTCGACGTTTTATACGATATCTGAAAATACTCAATCAATACGAGTTACACGTACCTTTCGCTATGCGGACTAATCGTTTTTACGAAATTATCCCCTCCTTCAGTATGAATAGTGCTCTACAGTGTCTCAGCAATACGTGAGTATGTTAGATCTGAATTTCGTCTTTTGGCGATTACTACATTTTTCTTACATCATTTCTCCCCTAGACCTGCACTTACAAATTACTTTAATTATTGCGATGCATATATACCGCGCACGCACTCAGCATCAAGACAGTCGATATGTAAACTATCAGACCACTTCTTAAATTTTGTTAAGGCAATGTGGTCAGGTGTGAGGTTAGTTTGTTGTCTTTGAGGCTTGGACATTTAAGTAATACGAATTTGAGAATAGATATATCATACAATACTATATCCGGTGACGATTAATTTATTCGGATCAATTATAGTCCAATATACATACCAATACAATTGGTCACAGAAATAAAACGAACGTTTGAAGGATTTCAAGGTTATGGACAGGAAGTATGTCATATTACCTAATTTTTGTTACGTTTCTTCACCCTTATCGTCGTCGTATATTCATCACTAATTATTTTTACGTACGTGTAGGATTCTCAAGAATTTCTCTGCTTTATTCTAGACCGCCTGAATGAAGAGCTTCCTTATCCTTCGTCACCTATAACTACATTCTCTGCCGGTCACGCGAAAGAGAACGGGCATAAAAGTCATGGGAACGGCTCACTTTCGCATACCATATCAGCTGCTAATCATAGTTCAAAACAAGGGACAACGAAACGGGGTATTATAAGTGACGTTTTTGAGGGTACCTTGGAAAGTAAAATAAGGTGTTTGCATTGCAAAAAAGTAAGATTTGCAATTTGGGAACAGGAAAAGACATATGGGGCCCGTTAATTATTCTGATAGTATCAACTTTGTAACTGAGTTGAACTGTTTGCTTTGAAACTTAAAGGACTTTGAGAAAGAAGATCGGGTATGCGAGTTGTTAATTGAGATAGACAAGAAATTCAAATCAAAGAACCAAGAAAGGAATGGAGAGTCATCATCCGCGTTTGGGTCAATGTTTGGTGCTGTAACTGGACTTGTGGGGTAGGCATGGAAAATGGGAGCCGTACGTGTGTGAATTGGTGATGTTTTTGTTGCTTATTAGCATGTGGGGTCCGTTTTTTAGGATAGGAGGGAAGATACTCAGGCTACAAGACTGCCTGAGCGCCTTTACTGCCACTGAGACACTGACGGGAGACAATCAGTATGAATGTGAGAGCTGTGGCAAGAAAAGAGATGGTCAGAAAACATTGAGGATAAAATCACTGCCAGAAGTAAGGATCTATCGTGAGATTTGGCTTTCAGGCAGAATTTAGAGTTTGAACTTTGAGTGTCTGGCGTTATAATTGATAATTTTTTATAATTCTCTTCGGTAGACACTTTGTATAATGCTAAAAAGATTTCGTCGTGATCAATATTCTTCAAAAATTGGAACTTATGTACAATTTCCCATGGAAGACTTTGACATGAGACCTTTTTGTAAAGAACCAGCAGATTATGAGGGAAAAAGCGAGGAAAATGCAGGTTCAACAATTTATGACTTATATGCACTTATACATCATAAAGGGGCATTTGGAGGTGAGTCGAGATTATTTGAAAGGCTTGAGCTAGTGTTCGTAATAATTAATTGATTTCCGTGCATTGACTAGCTGGTCATTACGTTACATATGCCAAGAATCCCATTGACAAAAATTGGTATGAATTTGATGATACTGTAAGTATAACTGAGTAGATGATCCAAGATCATATGTATTTCTTATTGACGTTATGTCAGTTTGTAACAAGGAAGACACCTGCTGAAGTAGCAAAAGTAGAGGCGTATGTACTGTTTTATCAGAAAAAGAGTCTAGAGAAGCAAGCAGAAAGAGATGATGTACTTACGCAAATAGAAAAAGAGGTATAGAATCTCATCATATACGTGGTGTTTCTCATTGTGGCAGCAGTTGTAAAATGGAACATTTTTATAGAGCGGCTATGGTCAATCACGTCTCATTTCACGGCTTTGGTTTAATAGGTGGCGATTCTTAGAAGCTGTATGTAGACAAACATGTTATTTGTATTGTCAAAATGAGAGTATTGAGAAGTATAATAGCAAATGCTAAATGGTCTTTTCTGCGATAGCCTGGACCTATAACCAACTATGACTTTATATGTGAACATGGAGGTAACGAATTTCGTTATTAAATTGATTAACTTAGACGAAAAAATTATTAACTTACAATATTTGTTACAGCTATCAATTTGTTGAAGTACCCAAATCCTCTTAACTTGGTAGTGCGAATACCAGAGAAAGTGTACGACAGATTTGTAACGTATTACGGACATGATGGTAGTCCATCGTTTACTGAAGCAAACTTACAAGCTGGATGTCTGGTGTGTGAGGTAGGTAGATTAGACATTTACCGCGTTTAATAAGGCGCTGCGACTGGCATGTAACACTAGTTTTTTAGCAAGAAGCGATGTTAATCGATGAGCGGCGCAAACGTGAACAGATGGATATTGCATCTATCGATACAAATGAAATTGGACCGGGTGAATATTGGTTTTTAATAAGTTCGACTTGGTTAGCTTCCTGGCACGCATTTAAAGCAGGAGGTAAGGCATTGCAAAGCGTATCCATGATTTCGATATAGTTTAATCTCAGGAATACATTTCCGTGTGGCATTTCAAACCATATTTTTCATTCACTGGCTGTTATACGGCGTACAATGAATTCTACTTGACAACGTTCATTTTTGCAATTTCTGTGTTTAATTATAGGTCCGATACCTGGTCCGATTGATAATACGAGATTCTTGAATGCGAACGGCACACCCAAGCTCCATATGCAAAGAAGTAAGAATAATAATCTCGTGTTATAAACAATATGGCAAAGATAGTTTCTAGACCTTTTTCTTTACTTCTTCAGGCGTTCATTATCGTGGAGTAAACGAGCGTGTCTGGCGTTATTTTTATCGAATATACGGCGGAGGTCCGATATGTGTTCGAGGTGAGGAGATATAATTATAACATTGTCTTGATTTTGTAATAATATTACTAACGCAAAGCGGCAATTTAATCTAGCTGTGCTGGATTTATATTCTCAGCCGTATTACCCTCCTCAGCCAGCAGATAGATACTCGGACTCTTTAAATAGACCTCGTTCATTTTATTAACATATTATTCTATGTAAAGTTTAATGCTAAGGGTGGTTAGGGGAGGATTATACCAAACGATAGCTTAATTTAACCGAGCAGTCTTGCTATGATCGAGCAGCAATAATTCTGTGTTCTTTTCTTTGGTTGCAGTTTGTTGAGTTGGAGAGTCCAACAGACCTCTTGTATAGGACTGAACATGCAATTATTCTTGTAAATTACCAAATTATAATATGATGATGCCAACAGAGAACATAAAACTGCAGACAATGTTTGCCATCTAATGAACATCCACGTACGAAATTGATTTTTATGTGAAGGTTGTGCGGAAAATTCACTAAATTTCATTTATCAATATGGATTAGTTGTAATGACTTTTATTGGTTTGATGGACTTATCCTCTTTTTGCGTTATAATTGATTCGTTATTAGAGGGCTTTCTTGTCTCTTTCAACAGTTTGTCAATTTGTTTCCAAAGGCCTAAGCGTTAAGATATCAATTTTAATGACAAACAAACAGTACCCTTACTTTTTAGTCTGTAAACGGTCAGAAATTATCCAACTAAAAGCCTGATTGGTACCGGATAACACGCGATCGCTATTTCATGACAATGTCCAAGGAAAATCGTAACATTCTCGATCGTTATTATTCTGATTTTTGTCAATAAGAACACACGCGTTGTTCATTGACGATAACGTTAAAAGTCCAAGAGCAATAATAATAAATTAAACACCATAAGGATTTTCCTTCCTATTTTTACCACCTTTCCCCTTCTTGTGATGCCTTTTCCCCAGATTCTTTGCTGTTGGTGCTTGTGCCGTATCCGTCAAGACATTTCCATCGTTTGCGATTCTTCCGTATATAGGATACGCGTCAGCTCTGGTGAATTCTCTTTGCCCAAAATTACGCCCTGTCGCATGCGCTCCAGCCGTCGTTGTACTAAAAAAGCTCTTATCTATAGCCTTTACTTTATCACTCGTTTGATCAAGCGTGCTTGTGCTAACAGAATTGACTGTAGATTCAGATTGCTGAACTGTAGTGTCCTTCCGAGATTTGAAATATAGTCTAGGATCATGAAGCTTGCTATTAAATTCCTCTGGTGTTATATCTATCGGAGGTGGGTGACAGTACGGAAGTTTGCCCTGGTAAAGCGCATTGCCAAATTTAATTCAAGGGAAAAAAAAAGTAATAAAAAAAAAGCACAATCAACAAAAAGAGCACCAAACAAAACAAACTTAATAGATAAAGTGCATACATTCACATAATCCTTTAAAATATAGCGTGCCGCCCGTGGCTCATCCGGAGCTCCATATCCAGAAGTTGTTAATCCCCTTGCAACTACAGTGCATCATCATGTTATTATCTCATTCTTTGAAGCATATGATTATCTAGTTTGACCTAAAGGTTTAGTAATTTACCGGCATATGCACTTAATAATTCTTCAGCAGTCGGTATATTGTCTCCACCCTCCTCTTCACTCCTCGTCTTTATTGTTATCCCATATATAGCTTGTAATATTTCCTTTGGTATTCTCCTTGCAACCAACGCGACTGGTCCAGTATGTTCCCTCATCTGATCAATCGGTAGGACACCATTACAAACCATTTCAGCATTGGTGGTGGCAAAATTGGGGAATACCAACCCGGGACAGTCGCAAAGAACAAGAGACGGCGTCAGGTGAATGGTTTGAAAATGCTTGGTTTTCCCAGGTGTTGCGGAAATTGAGACTCGTTTCTCACCAAGAAGTGAGTTGATCGTGGAAGATTTTCCAACGTTAGGATAACCAACTAGACCTATTGTCGCCTTCTGTGAATTGACTTTAATCGGTCATAGTCAATAAAAACGTTAGTAAATGAATATCCAGACAGATGACAAATATTCAATAATAACGTTAGCAACTTTTACTGGCGAAAGATGTGCTGGAAAATATTTTTGAATTATGACAAGTCAATTTGATTGAAAATTACGCACTTAAAAAATCTTTGACTTCAGATGACAATAAAAGAATCAGATCAGAAGTGTCGCAGATATGAACTTCTTTTTGTAATGGCGTTGGCTGCTCTTGTTCCTGCTCCTGTTCCTGCTGCTCCTGTTCCTGCTCCTGTTCCTGCTCCTGTTCCTGCTCCTGTTCCTGCTCCTGTTCCTGCTCCTGTTCCCGCTCCTGTTCCTGCTCCTGTTCCTGTTCCTGTTCCTGTTCCTGTTCCTGTTCCTGTTCATCATTTAACTTCTCTTTTGCCATTAATGCCGAAAAGAATGTATATCTTATTCCTTGTGAATCGAGGTAATCAGCCCATATTCGTCTAAAAATATCAAGTGAAAATTCCAGCTTACGCCACAATAAATGTTCTCTTAATAAAATCTACGCTACCTCTGTTCAGCAGTTAACAAGTCGGCTTTGTTGATTAGTAATAAATTCTTCTTTTTCTCGTCGACTTCGTTCACGTATCTTTCCAAATCACTTGATCTGAAAAATAATGGATTTCGCGCATCGACTATTTGAACGACCAAGTCTGATCGTTCAATCACTCTCCATAATTGACGCCATACTTCAATATTTCGCTCAAATGGAGTAAGAAGAAAGTCTTCCATTTCTTGTAGACTGTAATGTCCAGGTCAAAAGTCGCCAAATCGTCAACTATTATGTTGAAAGCAAAAAAAAAAGACGGACGCTTCAAAAATTTAAATAATAATAAGACTTACTACGCTAGACCTCTTCGCCAATTCAGAAATGCTTCCCTTTCGTCAATCTCTAGCTGTTCCGGCGTTGTGGACTTGGTCCATTTCGGCCTGACAATATGTATAAGTGAATTATTCCTTTCGTTTGTATTAATTTTGCAAACATTTTACTACCTTCTCGGTATTGTTAGTTTGTCTCTGTTCTCCTCATGCCTCGTAATAACTTCTTTCTCCTTATCAGTAGTTAAGAGAAACGGGTTTTGATATGCATTTGTGACTATTTTAACGTTCTGGCGTTCTAAAATTGAGTCGATACTGAAGACAATTAATACAATAATTACAGGTTCGCCTTCGGTTGACGCATGCTATATACCGGCAGCAAACGAATGTCCAGCTAATTGGGCCGTATCCAAGAATTCATCAAGATCTCTCTGTTGAGTGACTGATTGTAATCGAGTCCAGCTTGATCCATCGTTCAGGTCTGTGGTATGCTATGTTGGAATGAGCATTCTGTTTAAGAAAATTAACAAGTCTAATGACAGAAATACCAAAGTCGTATCTCCATCACGTGGACGAGTGCCATTTTTAAAACGGTCGCGAATGATAGCTCTTCCGAGGCCCGAGTTTTTCTTGGATTTTGTCATTGATTTGGCAGTAAAATAAAATGTTGTGAACGGTTCAACTACCCCAGGATCACCATCAAAAATCTACGGACACATGACTGCAGTGGGTGAAATTATAGAAGCAAAATTTAAATTTGTACTAAATTTATGTTAAACTCAAATCTTACATATATAAATAATCACGTGTCCGTAGATTTTTGATGGCGATGCTGGGAAAAATGTAACCATGCTTAGCAGTTTTGCCCAAAATGAAATAGTCGACTCATATTACAGATTAATAGTAATTTTTATTACTCTTCAATACTCAAATAATACAGCAGCGCTTCAGCAAATAAAATTCCAATTCCTATAAAAGTCCTTCCACTGTTACTAACACGCTACCAGTGACTACTGGACCTAAGTATAAACTCGTTTAAATCTATTAATATTAACAAAGTGACCAAACATTACTGCCTCCGACTTCTTCATATTCTTCACCGTCACCGTCACCGTCAATACTAGCAAAATTCATTACTTCACTTAAACGCTTTTACAATCCAATGAATATCAACTTCTCCCATGAATCTCTTATCCATTGAGCAAGAGTAGCATAGGATGGTTTTCGTATACGCCCAGCAGGTGTTAATTGATGAATAGTATTAGCCATCCATTCATCATATACTAAACTAAGACATGAGACTTATGATGAGTAGATAAATAATATGAATCGCAATTGAAGTTTAATTTCGAAGTTCTTTGTATACTATACAGTATTAGTGGTATCTAATAATGCGCGTTTAATTATAATATTAATATACAATTGATTCATCAACCAATAGGAGTTTAAAGAAACGAATCGAGATATGTACCCCCCATCCGTACGATGTACCCCCCCCACACACGAGTACCCCGGGTACTACAGTCAGGAGTTTTTCGAAATTTGCAGATCAATTCTAGAATATTCAGAGAGAATCTTGAAATCTGATTGGTTTAAATGCAGAGAATTTGATGATGCTTTTATCAATCTAGCACTGCATAAGAATCAAAACTAAAAGTCAGAATACACTCTTACGAGTCTATAGCTTCATAATCCACCGCGATCCACGCAACCTTGCAAAGTAGTTTCTTCTCTATTCACGTTTTAGATTTACGCTTTGTTACACAACGACTGTTATAATGAGTTCGAAATTAGAAGCAAAAGCCCTACATTGTATATTCAACTCTCTTTCGAAGGAATATCATGATAGCCAATTAATGCAATGTGAAACTAAAGAGAATCAACGATGGAGACATGCATCAGCTACTGCTGCAGTGAGGAAACTAACGGAAATGGCTAAGTATTTTCCTGCGTTAGATTTATTGCTTGATTCTCTAGAGAATTACTCTTTATGCGAAAAGCACTACAACCATATTATCGCCAGAAAGTGTTTTATTGAACAATTGGCTAAACAGGATAATTCAAGTCTTTTAAATACAGAAGAAATAGAGAGAAAAAGAAGAAAACTCATTGATGATCGTGATCTCTCCGAAAAAAGTTTTTCCGATTTTGGAGCTCAAGTATATTTGCCGGATCCAACGCATGAAACGCTTGTGAAAAGAATTGACGAGTTGGAGAACCTTAATAGACGATTAATATCAGAAAATGAAGCACTACGAAGACAGTTGTTAGATGACCAACAAGATCGCGTTAAGTTCGTAATGGAGATTGCAAAAAGGGAACGAG